GAAACAATGATAAATTGAATTTCATTTAAATTAAGAACGTACCTTTATTAGAAGACAATGTTAAGAGTCGGCCATAGTGGTATGTGTCTGTAATCCCAGCTATTCAGGAGGCTGAGGCAGAAGGATCACTTGAACCTAGGAGTTCAAGGCCAGCCTTGGCAACACAGTGAGATCCCATCTCTAAAAATAAATGAGACATAATTAAGAGAATAAAATGTGACTGCATCCATGTTAGGGTGACAAAAGTTAAAAGCGCTGATAATATCACTAAGGGAGGATGTAGAGTAACTGAAACTCTCATGCATTGCTAACAGGAATGTAAACTGGTACAAACAATGTAGAAGAATGTTAGCAGCATCTACTAAATCTGAAGATATATACACCAGTGGTCTCCAGCCTTTTTGACATCCGGTGCTGGTTTCATGGAAGACAATTTTTCCACGTAATGGGGAAGAGGATCGTATCTGGACGATTCAAGCACACTACATTTATTGTGCGCTTTATTTCTATTATTGCATTGTAATATATAATGAAATAATTATACAACTCACTATAATGCAGAATCAGTGGGAGTCCGGAGCTTGTTTTCCTGCAATTAGACGATCTCATCTGGGGGTGATGGGACGCAATGACACACAAATTGTGTTGCTTATATACAGTCTACTTTGTAATCTCATTTTGGTTGCTGTCACTGCAAAAAACACTGCTTCATAAAGATAGAATGTTGGAAAGGAAAGCAAACTTTTCAGTGCTTTTGTGGCAATCTCAGGATAGTCTTCCTTGACTTTAATCCAGAATGTATGGAGATTTGAAGTTGTCTCAAACATACTTTTAAGGCCACTGTCATTTACAATCTCAAGCAGTTAATCTAGCATGGACAAAGTTGATTCACCTGACTTATACACAAATGGGTTACAGATTCGTTTCTTCCCAGTTCGGGAAGTAATGCTCAAACTCTTCTGAAAGCTGAGATGGGTGATCATGCACCAACTGGGAGAAAGAAGACACTGGCTTAGTCTCTTTCACAATTCCTGCTAATATTTGAAACATGTCAAAAATCCCAATGTTCACTCGCTACCTCCTCCCTCAGTTCCAGCTTGGCTTTGAATGTAGCCACTTTATCTGCCAACTTGAACACAGTTGTCATTCTCCTCCTGAAGTGACAGACTGAGTTCATTGAGCAGGTTGAATATGTCACACAGGTAAGGATGTTTTGTGACCCATTCTGAGTCACTGAAATGTGCTGCCAGTTGTGACTGTTTTTCTAAAAGAAATCTCTGAGATAGTTCTTGTAACTCAAAAACTCGGTCCAGTAATCTACCTTTCGAAAGCCAAATCACATATGTGCTCTTCATCCATCTCCTCACAGGGCTTCACTAACAATGTGAATTAAGGCATATACTTTAGTGTGATTGATCATTTTAATCACATCCTGCAAAAAATTGTTAAGTTCTGGTTACATTTTTTGACTAGCCAGCATTTCTCTATGGATGACACAGTGCATAGACTCACATTCAGAAGCAACCTCTTTGACTTGAGTAGTGAAACCAGAAAACTATCCAGTCATGGCAGCCGCTGCATTCATGCATATACCAACACAGAATGACCAATTCAGTTTTCCTGATATGTAATCATTCAAAGACTAGAATAGTTCTGCAGCTGTGGCATTGGTTGGCAACAAAAGTATACATAACATATTCTCATACACATCCTCCTGAAGAAAATGTATCACACAGAAACAGCATTGTTGCCTTATTGTCATCGTCAGTAGACTCGTCAACCTGGTTTGTGTACCATAACTCATTAAACCTCTTTAACAATTGTGCCTCAATATCTTCTGCTATTTCATCAATTTGTCTAGTTATGGTGCTAGTTAAAGGGGGAATATGTGCCACCTTTTGCACTGCAGCCTCTCCTAAAAGTTCACAACAAATGTCCTTAGCAGCAGGCAGGATCAACTCTTCACCAATAGCAAAGGGCTTCTTAGATTTAGCAATGCAATTAGCCACTAGGAATGATGATCTCAGTGCAGACACATTTGATGAAGTGATGGCCTTCAATAATTGCTTCTGTTCTGTGTTTACTTTTTACTTTTGAAAAACTTCAAAGGCTTGTCTTTTTTATTATTATTATAGGAATGTGGGGTACAAGTGAGGATGAACTACATAAGTAGGCTGCATGCGGGTGAAGTTTGGGCTTCTAACTGACCCTCACTCCCCCGGTAATGAACCTAATACCCTTTGTATTATCACGTGTCCCCTCCTCCCTCCATCCCACCAGTGCCCAGTGACTGCAAAGCCTTGTCTTTTAATGCAGGGTGCTTGGTCTCCATGTGGCAAAGCAGTTTTCAAGGTTTCATAGCTTCATTGGATAGCCAGTCACCACATAATATACAAAGTGGGTTTGGAGAATGTGAATCACCTGTTGCAATGAACCCATAGTTTAAGTAGGACTCTTGGTATTTTCTTTTAAATGCAGCTTTCTTTTTGTTGGCAGTCTTAGAGTCTTCTGTCTCATCATTGGATCTTTCTCCCTTTTCAAAGAAGCTCTCCAGTGACGTTTGGTTTTTACTCATTTTGGCTAGGGTTAGCTTGTGGGCTTACTAAAACTGTAACTGAGACAAGTGTGAAGTGGGGGAAAGAGGTGTGGATAGAAGTGGTAAATAAAATAATAGGCAGGCCACGCACAAACTGAAATAAGTGTTGAATTGTGACTTAAAGCCTGCTACCAGATGAAGTTGTACAACTCACTGATAGGGTGTGATATGTGTCTGCAAGCAGTTGATTTATTATGGTCTCTGTGCAGTCAAACCCCACTGCTAATGTTAATCTATATGCAGCCACTCCCCAGCACTAGCATCATGCCTCAGCTCTACCTCAGATCATCAGGCTTTCAATTCTCATAAGGAGTGCACAATCGAGATCCTGAGCTTACGCAGTTCACAATAGGGTTTTGTGCTCCTATGAGAATCTAATGCCCATGCTGATCTGACAGAACGCAGAGCTCAGGCAGTAATGTGAATGATGGGGAGCAGCCATAAATGCAGATGAAGCTTTGGAGCAGCCATAAATGAAGATGAAGCAGTTCCCCACCGCTCACCTCCTGCTGTGCCACCTAGTTCCTAACAGGCCAGGGACTGACATTAGTCCATGGCCCCAGGGGTGGGGGACCCCTGACGTACACCCTATGAACAAATTCTACTTTAGAAATGAATACCTAGGACCATCAAAAGACACTCTCAAGAATTCACAGCAACAATAAATGATTAACTAAGTCATAGATTAGGTATATAACAATATTTTATAGCAGTTAAAAACAATGAATTACATGCAACATGAGGAGTCTTATAAATCTATTGTTGAGCAAAATAAGCCAGACAATAAGTTCAAAAACAGGTAATGCTAATCTTGATAGAGGTTGCATTAGTAATTACCTTTTGAGGTGGAGAACTGAGAGGGAACACTGGGGACTCTCCTAGGTTTCTGAGTTTGTTCTGCGTTTTGCTCTTTACATTTTGTCAAGCTGAATACTTTATATACAAGTATGTGCACTTTATGTAATTTAAAGTATAATTAGCAATTTAAATGTCATTAATAATGTTTCAAATATAAGAAACATACATAGACATCTTTTTTATCTAAAAGGTTTTTTTGTTTCTTCCTTCTTTTCTTTCCTCCCTTCCTTCCTTCCTCTCTTCCTTCCTTCCTTCCTTCAACTTTCAAACACAGAGGGGTGGGCTGAAGAGAATTGGATCAGGCAGGATGCAGAAAGTGTGAGAGAATATAGAACAAAATAGGAAATGAGCACAAAACAAAGTCTTTCAGCATATGGATTGGTAGAAAGAACTGAGAAGAAATAATATAGGAGTATTTTGATTAATAACATTGTGAAAAAGAAAAAAAAAGATATTTTCACACTCTTCCAACATGGCCCTGTACACTGTTTTAATTGTATATGTAGTAATCAATTGACTAGCGCTTGGTAACAGAATCTTTTCTTAGAGGCTAATTTGAAACCTGAAATGATTTCATCTGGTGAAAATTATATTGCTTTCTTTCACATTATCAAACTATATTATATAGTTAGATTATTTTACTTCAAGTCTCCAATCGACATTTCCTTTGTATGCATATACTGAAATGATTTTATTTAATAAAAAAGAACATCTCCTATGTGGATTCTAAATTTCCCTTATTAAATATTTATATTTTCAAAATGTCTTTATTTAATTGAGTGAGGTGCTTGGTGCCATTTCAAAATAACCGCAGGTGGTAGGTGTAATGACAAATCAAAGATCTGACCTTTAGCATTTTAGGATTCTATTTGTCTGCATTTTCTTCTGCATTCATTTAATCTTAATTTATATGCTATTTTTCTGTATGACTTAATGAGTGAATGTATTGATCATAAGATTAATTAACCAAAAAAATACATATACTATATATCTCAATACATATTATTTCTGTGCAATCTGACTAGTTATTTTAGCTTTATATTTCAGCTGTGACAAGTATAAAATGCTGTGTATAAGGCTGGTCAGTATTTGCATAAACCTCATCCATTCTCATTAAGTACTTAGCAGAATAGACCCTGGATCTACGAAACCAGGACCTGTTCTATTTCTTTTCACTTCTTTCCATTTATTGTATTATTTTATTTGGCGAGACTTTATTCTCTCATTTTATGCTATTCCTTTTAAAGAAAATTGAATGTAGTATTTACACTGATATAATTAAATTAACATCTTGAAGCATCTTTTTGTGTGCTTTGGTAGCATAATCATTTATCTGGATAGCTTTCAGCCTAGAAGCAGAGAAATTGTCAATTATAATATTGTGACATAAAAATTACTTTCATTTACCCATTTAAGCATTTCTTTATTGATTTTTAGAAAGGAGTTTCTAAATGGAGATTTTTGTTAAATGGAGATTTTTATTAAGTAAATCATTGATCGGTCAGTCTACATTATTTACCTTCGAATTGTTTTTGTTTTTTCTCAGTTTACATAAATCATTATCTCAAGAAGAAAATCTAAAGGATCAGTTTAACCATACCCTTAGTACCTATGAAGAAGCTTTAAAAAACAGAGAGAACATTGTTTCCATCACTCAACAACAAAATGAGGAACTGGCTACCCAACTGCAGCAAGCCCTGACAGAGCAAGCAAATATGGAATTACAACTTCAACATGCCATAGAGGCCTCCCAAGTGGCCAATGAAAAAGTTCAGAAGTAAGTAAAATGATCTTGCGTTACTTTAAAAACATAAAATAAACAAAAAACACTTTTTGTAGGAGTTAAACAATACATATTTATTGTTCCTGCCGTTAATAGTTTAAGATCAAAATAGATTGAACCAAGTGAACTTTTTTAGATTGGATACCATAACTATATCTCAGTTCAGAAAAATCATTTTCTTGGGAATCATTGTTACTGTTTAGGGCAAACCAGTTTTATTTAATAATGGATAATCCATTCATGAAGGCCATACTATTTAAATCATTTCACTGTCCCAAGTTAATAGGCAAAATTACTGGCAAGAAGAAGAGGTAGTCAGGTTACCATCTGTACTCATTTAGCTTTACAGTAACCCTGCTTGCATTGAGATCATATATGACCTTGCAATCTGAGACATCTAGATGCATAGCATCCAGTACAGTGAAACTAATTTTCTTGTATTGTTCTTCTGAAGTATTTGATACAGCTTTTCACACTGCATAATTATATTTATTTTGAATTATCTTTGCATTTTTATTAAAATTTAAATAAAGCTTCATAATCAGTCAGTCCTATGACAGCTAACAAAATGTTAACAAATAACTTATCAGGCAAAAAATTACTCATTAACTTATAGGACTTGAACACTGTAGCCGAATTTTCTTGAGGCAGCTTTAATGTAATAGAACCATTGTAATAAAATACATTTTAGAATACATGGAGTGTATGTAATAGAATACATTGCAACCTTCTTTATGTGTTGCTAACAGCATTAGAGCATTCACATACCTAACCACCTCCTTCTGACATACCCTTTTTCTGAACAATCTGTTTCCTGTTTTATAGTATGAAGTAGTGCTCACTTTTTTCTTGCCGGGCTTGGTGACTCAGCCTGTAATCCCGCGCCTTTGGGAGGCTGAGGTGAG